CAACATGAGGGCACTAGTGGATCTGGATACTGTATAGAGTCCCTGCAGTAACAATGAATAGGAACTGGAGGATGGAGATTACACTGTACATGAATATGTATCAGGAAATGATATAATGGAGGACTCTCTCCTTTTCATTTTTGATGAAATGTTGCCTAAACAAGGGCTTTTACTTTTACTCGGTTTTGGAGTAACTTTATTTAATAAAACCAGTGGTACAGTAACAAGAGGTGAGTGTGAATTTGATGTGTAATAGTTTACCAAAATATTAACTTGAGCATCACCAAGAGCATACTGATATAATATCTACAGCAATTAATAATAATAATAATAATAATAATAATCCTAACAGTAGCTAGTACCTGGTGTTCAATGGTGTTGTGTAGTGTATTGTTGGTAATGTGACTCATGAAACCATTGGGACCACCTCTGGAAAAAAATAAAATAAATAAATATATAAATAAAATAAAATAAAATAAATCAAAAAATAAATAAATAAAATAAATAAATAAATAAATAAAATAAAATAAAATAAATCAAAAAATAAATAAATAAAATAAATAAAATAAATACAGTACTATTATACCTGGCCCATATCATGTTGATCATACTCATCATTATTATAAAGTCAACAGGATCAGGATACAACCCACGAATGAACACAAAATTACTAAAAGAAAGAGACACAATCAGTGACCATACACTATACAGTAAATATTATACAGTATGAATTACCCATTATACAGTACAGTATACACTACACTGTACCCATTATACAGTACAGTATACACTACACTGTACCCATTATACAGTACAGTATACACTACACTGTACCCATTATACAGTACAGTATACACTACACTGTACCCATTATACAGTACAGTATGCACTACACTGTACTCATTATACAGTACTGGTATTATTATGTGTGTATCAGTACTTGGTAAAGTCAATACTTCTTGGTAATATTAGACCAAATGAACCGCCAGCCACACCCAAAACACCTAATTAATAATAATAATGATCAATAGTAATTAATAAACGTAAATGTGAGTTTTGTTAATAAAGCATGGTCTTAGTAGATGCATATGCAAAGGATAAAAAATAGATTAACTAATCCATATATTATTATTTACAATGACCGTAACTTTAAAAATTGAAGTCAGAATCAGCTCAAACTTTCTACACCGCATAAGGACATCAATATGTATCAGAAAATGTAATAAAAATTTGGGGTGATTTTGGAGCAATTTTTTCGAAAAAACCATGGGCTATAGCCTTGGGTAGTTTTCAGCTTTTTGTTGTTTTCTTAAAATGGCCGTAACTTGAAAAATTAAAGTCGGAATCAGCTCAAACTTGCTACACAGCATAAGGACATCAATATGTATCAGAAAATGTAATAAAAATTTGGGATGATTTCGGGACCATTTTTTGGAAAAAACCATGGGCTATTATAGCCTTGGGTATTTTTCAGATTTTTGGCATTTTGCCGTAACTTGAAAAATTGAAGTTGGAATCAGCTCAAACTTGCTACACAGCATAATGGCATCAATATGTATCATAGTAGTTAATAATTATTACCTCTCTCCACATCATTAGTCAATGCCATGTAGACCACACCCATTATTCCGCCCAGTGACAGTCCATAATAATGAACCCTCCTCTGGTCAATGACCCTCCTACCATTAACCAGCAGGAGTGGGTGGGAGGAGTAGGCCCCTTTCATTAACCTCATTAACACTAGCTCATTAACCACACCCTGTCCCAGCCTATCAGGAAGGACCCTAAAGTTAGATATGTCCTGCAGTATCAGCTCCAGTACTATACTGGGTATGTCGTAATTAGCTAGTCCCCACAGAGTACAGGAGAATAGGATGTACCCATTGGTATTGGCCTGTTTCTGTAGGTAGTCATGTTCTACTTCTGTCTGGAGGGAGGGGGAGAGGGAGTGAATTAGTATAAAGCAATTTTATTAATGATGATATTAATAAAGGGAGCTAGGGATATACTGTAAAACTACAAATTTTAGCGTGCTACTTATTTTAGCGATATTAGCGAAGAGCCTAAACACGCTAAATTTAATATTCGCTAATAAAAACACCCGGTCACGTGATCGCAAGATGTCGCTGATACTCTGCTGATACTAGCAGATGGCTCTCTTGAGTCTCTTCTGCTCGGTCGGTGATGCTACCAGAGGAAGGAGAACCCAGTGGAACGACAGCAGCAGCTAACAGAAAAGTGGAAAAGGTTTAATGATACGCCAAATTTAATAGTCGCTAATTTGACATTTAAGCATAAACGCTAAATAAAGTAGCCGCTAACATTAATAGGTTTACAGTACTTAAGGTAGGCCTGACTATACTTGTAACCTAGTGTAGTAAGAGGATACTACAGTACATTGTATGGAGGATAAAGGTATTCATGTGTACGTGTTATACCTGTCTATTCCGGAGACCTTGGGACCCAATAATACCCTAGCTCCTGATTATGAACCTGTCCTTATTTGAGAGGTTCATTAATACACATTACTATTGTATTGGGACTGATACTACCCCTCCTCATTATAGAGGTGTCCTTATTTTAGAGTGTCCACAATAGGAGGAGGTTATACTGTAGTATCAATTTGTACATGATACAGATACCAATGAAATAATATACTCCAGTATATAATTATTATGTTATTACAAATTATCCATAAATGTACTGCACAAGTAATGTCAACAAACAGTTCTTAGAATAGGTTATCCAGCACAATTAAAATAACTTTATAACTACTAATAACTATTAATAACTATTATTAATTACTTTATCACCGAACAGTCCGTGTCCAAACTGGACTAATGAAGGATTAGTAACTGATCCATTGGATACACTGTGAGGAATGAGGACCTGTAGATGAAGATAGGGTATAGATACAGTATAGTCTCTCTTAATGGACACTCTCTATAGCGTACACCTCCATTTAACGGGTACAGAGGTGTCCTTTATGTGGAGGTTATTTTATACAGTAAGGAATGTAATTGGTACACTAGGTGCTGTCCGTTAAATGGAGGTGTACGCTATAGAGAGTGTCCATTAAGAGAGGCTATATTATTATTATTATTATTTTTCCAGCTGCTGTTTATGAAGTATAAGATGTCAACTTAAATTTCAAACATAATTACGGCTAGTACACACGCGACGGCTAATACAATTAATTATTAATTAATATTCCTAATATGTAATACTAATCAATATAATTAATATGCCATTCCCTCCATATAAATACCACACTGCTAGTATTACTGTGTATTGTTGGTGTGGGAGTGACCAACTTTCTAGGAATTGTTATTATTAGCGTATAATAGTTGGAAGAGTTTATTGGAATTATATTATTTTACAATTTTGTACTAATATAACTGACTTTGAACTGATGACACACCCATTATAATGCTTTGTGGAATTTAATTGCAAAATTAAATTCCAGCAAATATTTCCGGATATACGGTATTATTTATTTCTACTTAATTAAAATTGATATTCTTAAATTACCAGATACATATACATGATATAATAATTATCCTCAATATAATCTTGTATTATTGATAATTGTGTACATCAGAATTGATGAAATATATTTACAACGTATACATGTACATGTACATTAAATTAAGTAATTTTTGTAGAATTATGTACAGTATAGTCTCTTTTAATGGACAATTGATCTCTTTAGATGAATTTTTAAAGTTACTTCAAAATTGGGTGAAAGTCTCTGTACTATATAGTACAGGGTCAAAGGCCAAATTTTGTCAAAAATTAAAAGTAGAGAATTCTCCATTTTTATTACATTTCCTGATACATATACATGTTCTTATGTTGCGTAGAAAGTTTGAGCTAATTCCGATCAAAATTGGATTTTTTACGAATTTTTTAAGTTATTCAAAAATCAGACAAAAGTCCCTGTACTATAGTACAGGGTCACAAGCCAAATTTTGCCAAAAATGGTAAGTAGAAAATTCTCCATTTTTATAACATTCCCTGATGCATATACTTGTACTTATGTTGCATAGAAAGTTTGAGCTGATTCAAACTTGAATTGGATTTTTTACAAATTTTAAAGTTACTTTAAAATCACAAAAAATCCCTAAATTTTGCCAAATAAAATTTGGGGAATTCTCCATTCTTATTACATTTACTGACACATGTATATTCAGATGTACTTACAATGAAGGAGAGTGCAGAGTTCCTTTGGTAAACTGGTAGTCCAGTCTCACTGTCAATGATCAAATGGGAACCAGGCAATGGAGAGGAGAGGTAGTCTGGAACTGACGTCTCAGCATAAATATACCTAATGATAATAATAATAATAATAATGATAATAATAATAATAATAATAAATAAATAAATAAATAATAACAAATTACCTGAATATTTGATCAGAATAATTATCAGTGTAATTAACAATATTTAGTGAAGGGGGCGTGGCCTCAACTCTATTAATAGCATCATCTCTCATGAAGACCAATCTATTGATGGTAACATAATAAAAGTGGGAGGAGTTAGAGGTGTGGCTTATCACCTATCAGTAAGTGATTGAGTGCTTGCAGTTGGAAAATCCCACAACAACTGAATATCACTTCTTTTAATACCTAATTAATAATAATTAATAATAACGGACAGCACCTAGTGTACCAATTACATTCCTTACTGTATAAAATAACCTCCACATAAAGGACACCTCTGTATAACAGAGACACAGTGTCCATTATATAGAGGCTAGTCTGTACTAGTATCTTACCATATTTGTCATTAAGTAAGTCGAATATTTCATTAAAATAAGTTCTTCGATATTCAATATCATAATTATGAGTAATAATACCGTCCCTATAACAACAACAACAACAACATAATAATAATAATAATGACAATGCATATAGAATTATACCTCAGTAATTTAAAAGCGTATGATGGTTCAATTAATGATCCATTCTTACTCCTCAAGAATCTCATTATTACAACATA